TCTATTCATTTTTATCCAAACAAACGTTAAAGGGTACACTTTCATAATGCTAAAACTTGACCGTTCGAGTTTTCGACAAGGGTAAATCTTCAAAACCAGCCTTTGGATATTTCAGAAGGTTCATTTTGGTCCTTCATCTTGTACTGGGTTCAATTATGTCCTTTAACTTGAATTAATTAGTGTACAGATTTGTCTAAGATATTTTGCCATTGACTCAATTAAAATTTCCAAACCTAGCTAGCATAAAGATAACGATTTAGAAGCTAACTATAGCTAACTTTATTAATTGAATTACCTTGCATTTTGTGAGTTTTAGTTCAATTTATATTAATCGATTAAAAACAAGTTAGCTCAACTCATGTTGATTTTGTCTCTAAAAGAACTTTTTTTTATGAGAAAGAAAAGGTGAAAATCAAGGCAAACTAGTTAAAAAAAGTTAGGACATTTAATTTTAACCACATGATACATAATTCATCAAAGGAGACCTACACTATCTTGTAGTTGAGATTAGAATTTCTATTTTTAATGTCATGATATTTTGATTTTTGGTTTCTTTTATATTAAAAACAAAACTATATTAAAAAAGAGAGATTAAGAGTGTTAAACTATGCTGAAAAAATAAAAAAGTGTTAGACTAGTATGAATTGAGTCTTTAAGCTAAATGTCCCTTTTGATTGTATAGATGTGCGATTATTACCACAGCTTTTTAACTTAACTGATTGTTATACTCTTGCACAACACATTTTCTCAAAAATTTATATTTTTTTAATAAATTAAAGGTTATAATAGTTAATTAAGGTAAAAATATGCGATATTAATAATTAAAAATGTTGTAATCACACCATCCATTGTATACTCTTGCACAACACATTTTCTCAAAAATTTATATTTTTTTAATAAATTAAAAGTTATAATAGTTAATTAAGATAAAAATATGCGATATTAATAATTAAAAATGTTGTAATCACACCATCCATTGTATAGTAAATCATATGTGCCAAAAAAAAAAAAAAAACCTAAATCACAAGCTTTATTGAAAAATTGTGTTAGTATAGACATTAATGTGTGTTAGGAATGTTTGGATTAATTGTTTTAATGCAGTTACTGACTAAGAGTTAACATTTAACTATTGATAATTGTTGTTATTTACAAGTCAAAATATGTAATTTGTTTGATTAGATCCAACGGCTAATAACTATTTTTCAAACTCATAAATAAACTCATTTAAACTATTAGGAGGTGTTTGGTTGGAGAGAAATTTTTTTCTTTTATCTTCTAAACTTTCTTTTTTATAAGGTTTTTTTACGTATTTTTACACATTAATACTATAATAAAAGAAGGAAAAAGTTGCATTTTTAACCATTATTTTTTCTGATACAATTTCAAAATTTTTTTCTTATATTTTTTCTCTATATAGAATTTATTTGACAACTTTTTTACTAACTGCTCTTATACTAATTTTTTACCAAACATAAAAAAGGTTAACAATCTAATAAAATCTCTACCAAACTTTACTATAAAACTTATTAACTTTAAATTTTTTTCTAATCTATGCTCTTAGGCATATGTTAAGAGTTTTTTTTTCATAATAAATATGTATAAAAAATTGTAAAAACTGATATTAATTTTACTGTTAAATAAATTTAATTAGATAATTGATAAATTAAAAATTAATTTTTATTTTTTCTATACAAATTTATAATAAAAAAATATATTTAATACACTTTTAACATGTGTTTTTAGAGTATAGGTTAAACAAACTCATTAACTTTTTTATACAATAATTTTTTAGTTATTTTTTTAGTAAAAACTTTCATGATAAAATTAGCTCTCCAACTAAACAGGCCTTCAATGTTTTATGAAGGAACCCAATAAAACCCACGGGCTAAATTGAGAATTCCTAACAAGAACAAGGGTTAACTGGAGTATTTTACATTGAAACAAACAGAAATGGACAAAACTGAAGCTTGGGGTCGTATAAGAGTCAGAAACAAGAATCAGAAACGCAACAAGCAAACAGAAATGCAAAACCTAAAAAAAGCTCCAAGGTAAGATTTCACATAAAATTTCGTGCCAAATCACTAATTAAGAGCAAATAAAACGACTGTTACATTACTTTCAAGTTTGTCCTCTCTGGTTATTCTAATTATGGCCATCGACGCTAGCTTACACGACTATTTTACGTGCAGCTTTTCCCCTTCATCATGTTCCTCTTTTACAGCATTAACGTTAAATGAAACTGAAATTAGTCTGTCAAATTTCATTACTGACCATGGTCTTGTTCTGAAGCAATGAGTTCTTGCAATGAGCAATGGCACCTTGGATCGCACTTTGCAACTCCTCCATCGATGACGTATCCACGTAGTTCGGCCCACTCAATTTCCCACCGGGTCCTATCCCGGAGAACCCGTTCCGTGACAGTACTCCAGAATGACTAGGAGATGACCGCATCGATGATGGACAGCTCGCAATGCAGCTTCGCCTCCTAGGATACCTCAGATTTCCCGAGAAAGAATGAGAGAATCCGTTAATGTTCTCTTTTCTTGCGTTCTTGTTGGGTACGTCCATATCTTTAACGGATCTATCCGCAGGTTTCATGGAGAAGGAGACAGCACTGCCGCCGGGAGTTGTTGACATTTTCTGTTGCTGTCTTTGGGATAGTTTCTCGTACAATGGCTTCACTTTCTTCAGATATTTCCTTATGACCTCTCTTGCTGAGGTACTCATTCTTTTCACGGACGACCCGGATACATTATCCGGGTCACGGGTTTTGCTCTCCTTTTTGAATACAGAAGAGAATCTTGAAAAGGAGAAGTATTTGTTTTTCTTGATCTGTTGATTCAAATGGCTGCCGTTGAGCCGCCGTAACTCGTCGTCTTCGGTTACGGAGCTCGGTCGGGAGGAGTCGCATGACTCGGCAAGCAACCCGAGGTCACTGGTGAGAGAGGATTGGGAGTCGTTGGAGCTGCCGGTGGAGTCACGTGAGGCGGTGGTGGTGCTGTCGGAGCAGGAGGAGGTGCTGGACGAGGCTAAGAGGAGTGTGCGGACCATGGAGATGCGAGGGGAGAGATGGAGAGGCAAGAGTTGGCCCTTGTAGAAGAGCTCGTCCGCCGGGCAAAGCGTGGAAGAGGCCTTACGTGGGGACAGCGAGATTGTGAACTCGAAGTCGGAGGAGGAAGACGAGGAGAAAGAGTGCGACGGAGACGACGGCAGGGTTTGAGATCTGAGAGCGGCTTTCTCCCTTCTCCGTCCCATCGTTGCTACATCATCAAATCACAACCAAAATTTTGCCAATGGAATTCGGCCTGGGGACCTTATAATAGGAACAGCGAATGGGCCTAAAACGATTAACTTAACGCGTGCGTAAGATCGCGTGAGCACACGCTGCAATTGTATTCCTTTTATTTACCTCGTAACTTTAAAACACAGTTTCACCAAAAAAAAACTTTAAAACACTGTTGAAGAAATTTTTTTTTTTTTTTTAAACATTTTTGTCAGGGACCGACTCGAACCGTTGCTTTGGGGACGGGAGATATGAACCTTACAAACGTGACTAATGCCACTTGATCCGAAGGATTAGATTCCACAGTTGAAGAATATAATGATAAAAAAAAAGTGATTTTAATATGTGTTTTGGAGATATAAGTTAAAAAATTATTTTTTAATAAAAATTTTTAATTAAAAATTGTATTTATTGTGTTTTTATTATTAATTTATATAAAAATAAAAATTAGCTTTAATTTTATTAATTGTATAATTAAATTGTTTTTTTTATAATTTTGTATTAAAAATAAAGTTTATTTTTTTAATTTTTATATAAATTATTGATAAAAATATATAATAAATATATTTTTATAATTAACTTTATTCAATCTGAACCGAAAGCAAAGATAAAAGATATAATTATTATATTTTTATATTTAATTACCAAAAAATTAGTCATTAATTTAACTCTCTAAAAGTTCAAATTGTTAGAGCCAGTTGAGCACTACTCCATGAATATAATTCAATTTGCTTATCACAACTTTTTAAAAATAAGAATTTCAGTTTCATTGCCAACTTCCATTTCAAACAAAGTATTATATATTTTTTTCTTAATTTTGCCCTTGTTAAGATTTCCTAGTTATTATCTCGGTTAAAATTTAATTGGTTTAATATGATTTTTAAATTTTTTAGATATTAATTTTAAATAAAAATTTAAATTTAAAACACATATTAAAAACTTATTTTATAATTACCTTAAAATTTTTTCAATGATTAAATTTACCAACTCTTTAAAAAAATTTTATAAATTTTGTAATTTTTTTAATGATAATAACAAATATACTCTTAATCAATCAACCAACCATTTTTATTTTCAATTATGACTATAAAAAAAACTCTAATATATAAGGCGAGTGCTTACTTTATATATATATATATTAATCTCTCAGTATCCAATAATCATATTGAATTTTAATTAATTCAGAATCAAACCGTATCAGATCCCATTATGAACGAAACTCTTCAAACACTTATTTCTCTATTCATAGACTTGAACTAGAGATCTTATTTTAAAAAAATCAAATTTTTTCTATTCAGATCAACAGATCATTAGTAAATCAAATACTTATTACATGGGTCTCCACCCATGCTATCAAATTCAATTTCTCTTGTCCACATTTCCCACTTCCCTACCCTCATTCCTCTTAGTTCAAATATATGTATATACATGACTGTAAAAATGAGGGATCCCGATCCGTTAACCTATACTACAGGATTAAATGGTTTTGACTTTTGCCACCTGCTCCAGCAGGCAGGTGGTAAATGGTAATTCTATCCTTCACAACACGCACGCGTGTAGTTAAGACGCAGGAGGCGATGTTGGGAATGTGCAACTGGTGGGATCTTGTTAACAGGGGATTGATCACATGTGTAGTGATTGCTATCAGTTAGGTATCACGTGCCGCAAACGTGAAAGGTGGGGTTGGATCATGAGTCGGAGGATTAATTAAGGTTGGGGAATTGGACTCACAAAATTAATTAAAGGTTAGCCTACCCGGTGCCTAGAGTGGAATAAATTTATGGGGCTTGCTAGGACAGAGACTAAGAGTGTGTTAACTATATTTCTTTACATATTTTTTTGATATAAATTAAGAAGGTAGGAGCACCAGCAGCTTCGACTGATTTAATCAGGTGCATTTAAATTTATAATTTTGGTTATAATTCAAAGTTGTAGTGTGTAGTTTGTTTTCTCCCTCTCCTCACATTTCCCTTGTTCAAAAAAAAAAAATTAAGAATGTAGTAAATAAATTTTTTATTATTAATTTGTGTTAAAATAAAAATTAATTTTTAATTTATGAGTTATTTAATATGTATTTTTAAAGATGTAATTATTATATTTTTATATTAAATAATATTAAAAAAACAAATTTTGTCATAAATTTTATCATCAGTACCACACAAGTCATTTTAATTGAAAACTTGCTTAAATAAAAATTAATTTTTTAATATTAATTAATATAAAAAATATAATAATTACACTCTTAACATATGTTACACAAATTTAAAAAATCATTAATTTGTTTATCATTCAATTAAATTTATCCATCTATCAACAATATTAAAAATAGTGTCAATTTTTACATTTGTTTATATATTTATGATACATTTAATCTCTTTAATAAATCATAAAGGTTAGCTTTAATCTTATCATCAATGCCACATGTATAAGTTTAATTAAAAAGTTGATAAAATTAAGCTTATTTTTTAAAATTTTCAATAAAAATTAATTGTAAAAAGGGTTTTTTTAAAGATAAGAACACATGATAATGATGTATTCACTGAACTTTTTTTTTTTTAATAGTGTTACAAATATGGGGTGAGGGGAATTGAACCCCAACGCGAGGGTTGGGGGATGCACCTTCAAGCTGGCTTATAGTTGTTGGTCCATAAAGTCCAGGTGCATTCATTGTACCTTTTTATAATCAATCATGCATTAATTTATATAAAAAAAATTAGCATTAATTTTAACATATCTGACACATAAATATTTTTTATTGGATAATGGGTAAATTAATATCAATTTTTAGTTTTACTATACATATATTTGAACATTTTTAATATGGAGTTAGATTAAACCATTATCCTGAAAAAGGAGGATGAACCTTGTAAGTGGCGGAAGCCACCTCGTCAATGGGTCAAGTTCGTTTTCCTATATATATTAATGATAAAAAAAATATAATAAATATATATTTATTATGTACTTTAAAGATATAAAATAAAAAAACTCTTATAAAAAATACCTTTAGAATATATATTAAAAATTCTACATAACTAAAAACATTGGTTAATAATATAATAAACACATTTTATAAATATTCAATTACATGAAAAAGAAAAACAAATTAATTTTAATAATAATGTCATGTAAACTTTTTAAATTGAATAATTAATAAAATTAATATCAATTTTTATTTATTATATATAATAATATATAATAAATATACTGTAGATACTAAAGACACCTGTTATAAGTTTCATTGATTAATAATTACTCCGCGTATGCATGTAGTAATTGGAGTGGGGATCATGAACAGATGGGATCCCCAGATGGGCAATCTGATGAACATTGATTAAAATTCACCTTGATTTAATGAGTGTTGATCTGTAATCCAGCTGTTTAAGCTGGGGATTAGGTGTTTAATTACTGATTACTGCTGACATGGAAATTGGACAGCGCACAGATCCTACCTGCAGTCATTAATTTCTCCGAGCTTTACAGCTATGTCCCCAGTTGGACCTAATTTCCAGTCTTTTTGGTTTTTAATTGAGTAGCTGGCCTTCAATCAAACATGAGATAAACGATTTTTTAAAGTTGCGTTTTTTAAGCTTTGTTATAAGAATATATTTAATGTACTTTTTAATTATTAAATTACATAAAACATATAGTTTAATTTTAATTTTAATAATTAATTAATTTAAGTAGTACAAATAATAGAATCTGACCCCTGTGGGCCAAATGACTTTAATCACTCTTATAAAGTTCATGTCCCCTCCCCAAGGGCAATGATTCGGACCGGTCTCATAACAAAATGTTAAAAAAAAAGTAGTACAAGTAATAATGATTTTAAAATTAATATTTATTTTTTTGATTTTTTATATAACTTAA